TGGGCCATCAATGCTGATGAATTATCACTAGGCGTTGGTTAAAAGGTTAAAAGTAAAACCTTCTTTTTTTTTGTGATTTATGATAATAACAATGAAGTGACTTAAAGTTGCGCGAGAAAGGACACTGTGATGGTAGATTTAAAGGCATCAACAGTGTCGACAGAAACGAAAGACTGAGAGAGTAGATTCCATTGAGTTATAGTTCTGGGGTAGAAGGAGTATTTGTAGCAGTCTTCAGACGTTTGGAGGTGTTTGAAGGCATATGGGTTATGATGACTTGTACGAGTGTGGGGGTCGACAGGTATGAGAAGATTTCCTGATATCTTTACGAGAATTTTCTGTAGAATCTCGGCCCATACGATTTCTGTCTAGATTTAAGTCTAGGACAGATGCCGATTTAAATTGGTTGTTAATAGCAACCAGGCTTTGACCTTGTTTACATCGAATTTTGTGGTGTCAAAGAATTCGGAGGAGGAGATTGTCGGAGGTTGATGGTGACAACCAAGTTTCAGTTCCGATAATTATATCGGGTTTGACATTTTCAATAATAAGGTCAAGTTGGTAATATTTGGATGATTTGTCAGAACTAAATCTAGGGTTTTGTCATTCCTTGTTAGTATATTTAAAATTTGGTGTAAGGAGTGATTGCTAGCCACATCTAGAAGCCGCTGATGGATGGCTGCATCAGATCCGCCAGGAATAACATTTGGCACACTCCAATTGATGTTGCCTAAATTGAATTCACTACCCAGAATAATGATTGAGTTGGTATCAGATCATATTATGCCGAGTGATAAACCAAGTTGGTTAATGATTTAATATTATGTTCAGATGGTGGACGAAAGTAAGAACCAACTATATATTTACGAGAATTTTCTGTAGATCCCTCTGCCCATACGATTTCTGTCTAGATTTAAGTCTAGGACAGATACCGATTTAAATTGGTTGTTAATAGCAATCAGGCTTTGACAGTGTTTATTGGGAGGTCTATCTTTTCTATGTACTTCTAATTTTGTGGTGTCAAAGAATTAGGAAGAGGAGGTTGTCGGAGGTTGATGGTGACAACCATGTTTCAGTTCCGATAATGATATCGGGTTTGACATTTTCAATAATAAAGTCAAGTTTTTTTGTTTTGTTTTTTATCGACTGAAAGGCTGTGGACATATACTGTTCTTTAAAATTCTGTTTTACCCTCCTCCATGTTGTCGTAGTGGTGGTCGCTATTTGGCTGAACCACGTGAGGGCTGGTCCCCCAAGTGCAAGTGAAACCCGGCGATACTCTAAACATCCCAGTTTTCCAGACCTTGCAAAACAACATACGACGTAAATTCCTTCCAGAATCTAGCAGGATCTTCATTGGCATACCCATGAAAAGTTTGTATGGGTCTGAGGGGCGAAAAACGGCATGTTCTGTCCTAAATTCCCGCAATTTGCATTTACTGGAGACCTGCTCAAACGGGGTATCTGGCATTATCAGGGCGTCCTATAAAATTCACTACCCGTCGCTATTCCATGCTTTTTTGCAAGTCAAGTGCGCGACAAGCACGCAAGTCGGTACGGCCCGCTACTACAGTGCTACTGAATCTACTGCAGGTAGATTTTGCATTACGAAATGCGTTCTAGAACGAGACCCGGGAGAGGAGGTGTGAAGGCAACGAAGCCTGTATTGATGACAATACCTATGGAAGATGATAAAAATAAATCACTCCACCCGGTGGAGGACCCAGAGTCTTTTTTCCTCGAGTCAAACTATGAGTTTGACTTTACTGGTCAGGGCGGCGTGGCCGCACTGGGGGCAGCACCCATATCAGCTGTTGAGGAAGTCTCGGTAAGCGCGAGAGGTAAGGACGAGACAACAAAAATGGCCATGCTGTGGGCGAAGCCCCGGCTATCAAGAGGAAAAGGCCGTCGCATGCCGCGGGCAGCGAGGAACAGGAGCTTAGATCAAGTAAGTATCGGAAACAACAGGTTGACGAACGTGTCAGACAGTAAGAGTTGAAATTAGAATTCATGAACAAACGAACTGAGGGTTAGTCAGGTCGTAGTACCCGACGGGAGCGGGTTTTGCACGATACGATAATTCGATTGATGTTTATAGGTGGTCTGGTTCAGACGACGAGAAGTGATTGGCAGGGCCGGTTAATTGGGGGGGGGGGGGATCCGTTGGGTCTCTGGGAGCCTGTTGGGGATTGTGGAAATGATGATGAATATTCTGTAACATTACCGTCTGAAAAGGCTCAGAATAAGTTGGGCCTAGTTGTGATGTCAGACTGTTTTTAGGACGACGTCATAGAGGACGCAGTTAATGCACAAGTGGTGTCGTTAGCCAATACGGTATATGTTAAGCCGGCAAGCATTGCAAAGACGACAGAGAAGTATAAACCGCTAGAGAACTGTGTAAACGTAAGGGCCCCGAAATATGGTCATTGTTGGCCCGACCATTTCCAAATTATGAGTTGATAGAGGCACAGAGGTTGTTAGGTCTGGGTATGGTGCCCCTGATGAAATTTGCTAAGACATTGATGGAATATCCTAGTTTTAGGGAAAGTTTAAGACCTCTGTGTGTATATTCTACACTGCTGTGTGGCAGTGCTTTTCAGAAACGCTCAACGGAGAGACGTTTCATGTTGAGGCAAGCTTTACCGAAAGCTTATCACTCCCTATGTTCTAAGGATGTACCCGTAACAGAGTGATTGATCGGGGACGAGCTTACGAAAAAGGTCAAGGATATTTCAGAAGCTAACAAGGTTTTCAGGGTTTTTTCAAAAAAAACAGGAGAGGCAGAGAATGGCGCGGCACAGGTCGTGGGCGTGGCTCTCATGGACAGAGATCAGGCATATCTAAGGGTAGGCCTTTTTTAAGGCATCAGACAAACTACAGGGGCAGAGGTTATGGCTACCAGAGACGCCCCAGCCGCGGTCATCGGAGCCAGCAGCAACAGCAGACCCAGCCAAAGGCAGAGTGACATGCCCACTAGAGGTAAGTCAAATAAAACCATCAGGCACGATAGGATTTAGTCTTCCTTTTTGGCAAAACATCACTGATGACGAGTGGGTCTTACAAACAGTACAAGGTTATGATTTAGAATATTTTTGTGGTTGAGAAAAAGAATGGCAAGTTTAGACAAGTTATTAATTTGAAAAAGTTAAATGAGTTTGTAGTCTACCATCATTTTAAACAAGAGACCATGAATGTGGTTTTGGAGTCTGTCGAGAGAGGTGATTTTTTTCTCTTCTATTGATCTGATAGATGCCTACTTTAGCATTCCCATGGCTGAAGAATGTTTAGAGTATTTGCAATTTCTACCTACGTTTGTGTCTTGGTATCCAGACCCTTTAGCATGGGCGTCGTATGTTTTTTCCTTGTCATGGAAAGATCACATATCAGTTACCATTCCTCCTTTCAGCCTCGTAGCAAGGGTGATCCAGGAACTAAATGACGAACGGGTGAGTGGGGCTATCCTCGTCCAAGATGGTAAAACCTGTTACTCTCGCCTCAGGGCGAACCACTTCCATTGACCAGCCCGAGACTGATCGCATGTTACGTATCAGGCGATCCCTGCAAAGGCATGGTTTATCGCGACAGTCTGCCAAGCTCGTTGGTTCATCCTGGAGAAGGTAAACTACAAAACAGTACGATATTGCATGGAACAACTGGGTATCTTAATGTGCTGAAAGGTCGGCTTATTCCAATTGTCCGTCTGCCACGCGGGTGATTGATTACTTGACACATATCTTTAACAGTGGGAAGTCATATAGTGTAATCAATACCCACAAAGGTATGTTGACTCAATCAATTACAGTGTTAGGGATGTGTCAGTGTTACTGATATTATTGGAAACACTGACTCCTATGTCTAGCCTAGATCTACCAATGTTGAAGAATAAAATGGCTTGTTTACTTGCTTTGACTACCGCACAGCGGGCACAGACGCTCGTGACTCTAGCAATTAACTTCATGCTAGATTTAGGCAATTCTATTCTAAGACCTTATGAAAACGTCTAGACCATCTAAACCGTTCTATAAGGTGACAGTTTAAAGGTTTTCTAGAGAAGGATTGTGTGTACTAAGAGTATTAAGAGACTACTTATTAAGGACAGAAGGGTTCAGAAAGTCTAGTAAACTTTTGGTGTCATTAAAGTTAGGAACTCAAATTTCCACACACAATTTGTCGAGATGGGTTAAGGAGTTAATGCAGAAGGCAAGGATATATTCACAGTTCAAGCCCCATTATGTACGTGGTGCAGCTACGTCGGTGGCGGCAGCTGCAGGTTTGTCTTTAAATAAAGTACGTATGAGTGCTAATTGGTCTTCCGAAGGTACTTTCCTGGCGTTCTACCTGAGGGAGGCAGGGAGTAAAGACAGGCCAGAAGAGAATGGGTTTGGCGAGGTAGTAATCTCAACCGTGAACAAATGAGTAAAATTTGAACTTTGGAAACGCTGGTGTTTGGTATTTTTTTCTGGGTTTGGTGTGGGTTCCTTATATTATTGAATAATCGCTTTGAAGAATGCAGATTCAACCCGACAAGCCTGAATAGATTTGAATGAAAGAGAATCCCCCCTCATCCGAGTATCTCTGATGGATGAGAGGGATTCTCTGAAATGAAAGCCCGAAGGCTGGAGGGTTGAATACCCACCCTCCCGCCACAGTGGTGTTTGATTACCAACAAAAATATTTGAAGAAGCATGGAATAGCGACGGGTAGTGCATTTTACAGGAGGCCATGAGAAGACCAGATACACGGATTGAGCAGGTATTTTTTTAAACTTTAGAGGTCAATGTTGCGCACCTTTAGGTTGGAAATATGCAGATTCAACCCTCTAGTCGTCGGGCATTTATTTCAGAGAATCCCTCTCATTTATCGTATCAGAGATACTCGGATGAGGGGGGATTGTCGTACTTTGTATGCTTCTTAGTTCATTCAACAGATTTGAAGATTCTCCACCATGTTCAATGATCAATAACCGATTAGGATTTATAAAAAAAACATGTCTTCCGTCTTCTTATTTTTTATTCTTTCTCAATTCACCTCCTATCTAGGAGAGTTTCATACAAAAGCGAAACCGAAAGTAAAGTATTTCATCCATAGTTATCTCCCTTATGCATGTCATAATATGATATACATAATAAGTACCACGCATTCACACATACGCATTTCCGTTGCAGTACGTTTACTAAATACATGGCAAGCAAGAATCATTAGTATCACACTATGTAAAACTAATCATATATATATGTTCACAGTTAGATTTGAATAACAAAAACACTAGAGTATGCCAGAGCGTCGCGTAGGCAGAGTTTGAAACCGCCAAAAGAAGGTTATCAGTGGGTTTAAACGTAAAATACTCATTTTTAACGATGATCGAGACGTTAGTTGGAAAATGCTGCTTATATAGAAATAAACACTTTTGAATCCAAAAAAAGGGTAGACGAATATAGCCTGAATGTACGTTCTCTTCTCTGGAAAGACAATGATGTTTACAAAACACAGTTGCACACGCTCGGTTGCGTTGGAAGTTAACGGACAGCTGCCGTTAAAATGTATGGTTGTATAGTTAAGTGTTTCCTCACTATTAATAAAGAACGCTAGGAAAACATTGGCTATTTCGAAAAGAAACGTTGTTATCAATTATGTGCAGTTTTAACATTCAGTAATGTCTATCATTAAGCATACTCATATTATTGGTAGCGTAGATTAGTTTAGTACAAGTGTGGCACCCTGTTAATGCAGGTATAAAACAGGTTTGACCACTGACGGACAGTACAGGACATGCGCGTTGCGGGTTTTTTTTTTCTCTTTTGTACTTTTGCCGCCGTTTGGTAGTTCTTCTTTGACCATCTATCAGAGTGGTTGTATTTTTTTCCAAGATGTAGATCTAATCTATATTTATGTATTCACGTCCTGGGCACCACATGCCAAGTAAGTTTAACATTATTATTTATTTATTTGTTATTATTACATTAAGATGTTATTATTAAATTTTACTGATGATTGTAACTTATTAGTAGATAATTTTCATCGTGATAGTTCCTGTGGTCTATTGGTACTTTGCCAGTTATATATATTCTTATAGGTTTAACTGTGGATAAACGATAATAGAATCTGTATATGTGATCGAATCTATGTAAATGTATTCGTAGAGCGCTATTGTTGCATAGTTGGGCGCGTTAGTTTCGGTACTGTGTATTAAATATAGCTATTTATTTGTTGTATGGACTTTTGTGTATATCTTCGTGTCAATCATTAAACATATCTATGAAGAGAGAATCCTGTGTCGGTTGTTATTACGCCAAGATCCTCCCCTAGAATCCGACTACGTTACACAAGGATGTTCGACAGAGTTTTGCAATCAATATCAATATATTGTATAATAGACTAGCGAGCATACATCTTGTGTATTCAGTGTTGCAAAAATAAACTTAGAAACATCGTATCGCTATATTTCGCATAACGCCTGTTGGTCAAGTCATTCGATGTAAACAAACAGATTACATCGCATTTGTGAGTATATCGATATTTTGATATCATAATGTAATATTCTGTTTTACAAATAATTGTTACTTAGGATAAACACAAAACAAAAAACAAAAACAAACAAACATGTTTAGGAGGAACAGATCTGCTGATTCATTATGCACATAACATACAAATATAACATATGAAACAATTGTACAAATGTTTTCATTGTCAATACAGACAGAAGTTTAAATTTAAGGTCTCCAACCGTGATATTAATATCGCAAGAAAGCCGTGCTCTCACTTTTTGTGGATCTATCATACTATAATAAAGAGTTATGATGTTTACTTCCCTGTCGGTAGAATGTCTGGTTGAGCGTTAAAACGATGTCCTTTCTTAGACTTGAACAATTATAATAAAGGAGCAGACGACACATTGCTCAGGCCCGGAGAGTTTGTTAAAAGGAATATACCTAGTCCACATTATCACTTTCCTTGTGGTGCCCATTTGAATTGACTGCAGCTTAAGTGGCCATCCACTAAATGTCTTGTTGTCATGTGGTCTTTGGGATGGAGAAACAACAGACAGCCACGTGGTTGTCAGTGTCAGTCCAGTAGTTTTCTAATTGCAGTCCCCCACAGGAACCTAGCGTCCGTATCTGGTTAATGTTGTATTTACAGCTCACTCCTTTACCTTCGTGTAAATAAAGTCTCTCTTCCCTCGCTAGATCTATGGTAATTCCTAGACCGGCTAAAACATACAACAGAAACAGACCTAGTGATTACAGTGTTCATGAACTGATTCTGTTAATCCTTGAACAGTTGTCCTTTCTGTAGCCTCAACACATAAAAGCAACTTCAAAACACGATACATAATAAAAACAGCAGGATTCTAGGAGACCAAAGAAAGGAAATAAATGTAAGACATAGCCACACAAAACAATCCATGGAGCTAGAGTGTATTCTGCATGGCGGTACCCATCATCAGGAGTTTTCATGTGCCTACTTGTATAATTTTGCCATACCGATATATGCTATATTATACCTAAAAAAAAAAAAATTATATATAAAATTATGTTTAGTGTATGGTAAGCAACTTCCTGTATTATATGACAAAACAATAAGTTTTCGGAAGATCGTGTTTCACCTCAAGGGAGGTGATGTCTACCTGTGTGGATACAACTTTCCAATCCTTCTCGGAATTCTAAAGCTATATACTTGTTTCTATCAAACAAATGACAATTTATTCCAATTAACTTTAGATGTGGGAACACTTTTTAGCATTTTGCAGTTGGGCACTTGTGTACGGTAAGCTACGTACATATTTGATGGACTTGATTCTCTAGAGATTTGCCGAAAAGCATGACGTAGCTGGTGTCCTCTGGTCGGTCACTGTGAACATACTCTGCCTCTAGAGCTAGAGTGGTCGTGTTTATAGAACAGCCATACTCTCTATTCAGACGCCACACGGCATTGAGGTACAAATCTGCCGATATACCTAGCATATAAAATAATTGAGTCATTAGTATAAATGTCAACAAAAGTATCGGTGTTGTATAAAGTTTTACTTATAAAATGGCACAATCTAGCATGTCATCAACAAATGCGTTGTTTATCGTTATTGTTTAACATGCGTCATATATTGTCATATTTTCATTAAACCAAAACATTATTAGTATTCATAACAAATGTCTTGTCATATTTCTAATTATAAACTCGTTAGTAATCTGAACACATATACCACTATAAGATACATAATATTCTTAGAAGGCAACTTCAATATATATCTGATTGATTTAAAAAATATGTTTGGAAATTTTGAACACATCAAGTTTATACCGAACGCATGCAGTTTAAAATCGTAATGCATTGATATTGTTCATTACGCAGTTAATGTAATTTGCATTGGTTATAAGCCATATATTATATGTATATATTGATAAAACAGTTATTTCCTCTAGGAACCAAAAATGTTTAGTTAAGCACAAAAATGAAATTTTAGCTAAATCAAAAAAGTGCTTTAGTACAAATATATGAATATTCTTAACAATTTCTTTATGAGACTTGTAAGAGCAGTTATACTATTTCTAATTAAAATTGTATGCGTCCCCATAAATTATAAATTTAATTGTGTCTTCTACACAGTCTTACCTGCCACGACTATATTAATTCCTAACTTAAACCAAACATTCAAACAACTTAAATGATTGACAGTGGTATATCCCTGTAGGATCGAGGTATGCGTCTTCTATCTGTTCTTTATCTTGTGTAACATCAAGACTTATGATGAGCCGGCACCTGTCTATAGATAAAAGGAAAAATAAATGTACTTCGCAGTTGAGGAAAATTTGTGGAAAGTAGTGCCATGAACTCTTGTGCGACCCGTAATGGACCAAAGTGAAGAATATAATAAAATTGTAAGGAAATAAAATTTGTTAGAAAAAATGATAATTAAATATACAAAATTGAAATAAGCTATCACCAACAATTAGCCATTTAACTGAATATCAGACAATTTTAGCATTTGCAATGGGACTGTTATCGTATGCTGTTTCCATGATCAGGTTTCTATATTAAATATGTCAGGTTCGGTTGTTCGTTTAGTTTTACGGTATTGTTGGGGGGGAAAAGGGAAAAAAATACATTAATAAACGTTATGGAAAACATTGCAGAAACTGTCTGATTATCTTCGGAATTTATGTACTGAATTGGTACTTGTGACGTGTATTTAACATGAAGTATTTCATATATTAAGTTGTTATTACACAGAAAAAAGTATTTTAGAACCTTGTAGTGATAAATATCAAATACAAAAAAATAGTCATATCCTAGGAAAGCCATCTCATTAGAGTGTTAAGCTTTACAAATGTAGCGGAACTGGACTGGATCGATCGTCGGCGACCAGATAGCTCAATTGGTAAAGCGTTCGTCTAGAGTTCGGAAGGTACCGGGTTCGATCCCCGGTCTTGCCGTGCATTATTCCTATCCTGTTTCACAAATAAACATAACCGTGGTAGGTTCAATATGAAATATATAATAAAGTCTGTTACTTTTTATAATGTTTCTACCAATTATTACTTTATTACCGTTATTAATACAAAATGTATAAAACTTGTCATATATGAAGAGGTGGCAAGCGCAGACCTATTATCTAACAATTTCATTAGAAGACATAAAAAATCATTATGATCAAAGCAAGTGAGAATTTTACCTGTACACCATTCAAAACACTACAGGTTCTCAATCAGGTAATCTGGCTTGACTTGTATTCTTGTATTCCTGAATTCTTGTGAAATATCTAATGAAAATACATGAAATCATTCAGATTTGAAGCATTTTCTTACATTTTTCTCGATAATAGTGAAAACACGGATACTTCAGGAATGCATGTACAGGTAAAACATTTCATGAATTAAAATATTCAATGCAATTTTGCGCCACTCAAATTCTGACTTCAAAAGTTGAAATTGTGTCTATCTTTGACCAATGGAATCATTTACCAGAATTCTGGTAAGCCTCGTTATGACTTTACAAAACGATACCACTGGGTTTCAACGAGACTTATGTGATTACTGACGACAAGTAATAGGGAAAGGGGAGACAACTCTTATCTATGTCGCTATTTTAATTGCTATTTTAATTTTGTTCATTGCAGCACTTAACTAGAATACTCTAAGGGAACGAGATGTCTCTGAGACAGAAAACATTTCTTGATAAGTGAGATTCATAGCTTTCACATCTTTTAATATGAAAGTGAAATCAATGGATAACCGACCAAGTACTCATTCAAGATCTTTTAATTGCAAAACAACATCCACATATTTAAATAAGACATTAAAAGATCGGACCATGATCGTATCTCACTATTTAAAATATATTCTAATCGTGTGACGTCATGGAGGCAGGTATTCAGCAGATCGAAATAGGTTGACTGAGGAGGGAAAAGACGGTAGTGAAATTTCCGACAGAAATATTGATGATCGTAGCTACATTTCTACATATTGGAGCCAAACATCCAAATATTCAAATAGATTTTTTTTTACTGGCATCCATAAGGCTATGATAGAAATTCCCTTTCTAATTCCAAAAGGAAAACGTCCATGATATGGTTGTAAGTATTTTACGCTCATTATTATATTTATGTTACATAACCTTACATGTAATCATTCAATGTAACTGCACTATCAAAAGGCGCTTACATTTTTTGCTGAGCCTCATGTATTAAATCATTTTTATATAAGATTATTCTGACTTACTTTTGCTAACAAGGATTAATTGAGAAATAGCTCGCACAAGGCCTCAATTAAAACATAATCAAAATATCAGATGTTTTGTGATTAACATATTATACATTTGACATAATAAATACATCCTGTGACTAATGTGCAGATATTTTATTTTGTCTCCTGCTTAAATCTTTCAAGTGTGATTGGAAAGGAGCATGAAGAATGGATATTTTACAATGATATCTTAAATTATGGTACCGACTACTTCAATGAAATTCCAATAAAGAGGGAAATACCGTCCTACACTAATGTCATTTTAAGACCGTGTTTAAATCTGCAACAGGATTAATATATCGTGACGAATAGTTACCTTATCAATATCCCGTCTATAGTCGTGTCAAAGAAACATAAGTCAAAATTTTGTCAATACTGTCTGAACAAATAAACTATTTAACGTAGGAGGTTTACATAGATTTGAGCTTAGTTAAGTCAGGGATCACTAATCCGGTTGTTACATTTGTACATTAACATTTGTGTTTGTTCTGTTCAAGGTTGTTCCAGTTTGCTTGGAACGTTTATGGCTGTAGCGTCTAGTCTTCACACATAGACAGATTAACATACAAACAAATTACTATTTAAAACGTGACAGGTGTCTCAACTACGCAACATCAATATGTTTTATAAGGAAGCGTATAAGATGCAAATAAAAACCGAATCGATTCTCATTTTTGACATTTCCTTAACATCATTTTTGACACGTATCACTTGTATACTGGCAGCACCTTCCAGTATTACGTGTATACCGGCAGCACCTTCCAGTATTACGTGAATACTGGCAGCACCTTCCAGTATTACGTGTATACCGGCAGCTCCTTCCAGTATTACGTGTATACTGGCAGCACCTGCCAGTATTACGTGTATACTGGCAGCTCCTTCCAGTATTACGTGTATACCGGCAGCACCTTCCAGTATTACGTGAATACTGGCAGCCCCTTCCAGTATTACGTGTATACCGGCAGCACCTTCCAGTATTATGTGTCTACTGGCAGCCCCTTCCAGTATTACGTGTATACCGGCAGCACCTTCCAGTATTACGTGAATACTGGCAGCCCCTTCCAGTATTACGTGTATACTAGCAGCACCTTCCAGTATTACGTGTATACTGGCAGGACCTTCCAGTATTACGTGTATACTGGCAGCAACTTCCAGTATTATGTGTATACTGGCAGCACCTTCCAGTATTACGTATATACTGGCAGCACCTTCCAGTATTACGTGTATACCGGCAGCACCTTCCAGTATTATGTGTCTACTGGCAGCCCCTTCCAGTATTACGTGTATACTGGCAGCCCCTTCCAGTATTACGTGTATACTAGCAGCACCTTCCAGTATTACGTGTATACTGGCGGCACCTTCCAGTATTACGTGTATACTGGCAGCTCCTTCCAGTATTACGTGTATACTGGCAGCACCTTCCAGTATTACGAAAAAGATAAAATAGTCCATTACCTGTCATAACATTCGACAACAACTTAAGCCGACGTATTTGGTCCTGATAACTCTGGTTCTGGAATCCACCCCCAAGCCACGTGATAACCTTGCTCCTAGACGTATTACTACAAAATGGAAAGAATATTAATTTAAACCATTTTCGTCTAAGGAATTTGAAATAAAGAACGTATTGCAATGAAGATAAAGTTGTTTTGGTAACCTAAATAAGTAAATATAAACAAGACACACACAATGAATGGTATCTATAGTATCTACATCATTTTATAACAAGAGCAACGAAAGGAAAATATCAGCCTGGGATCTTAGCCTGGGGGTGAAGGTCATCCGTCTTATTTCCATCTTAGGTGGGAAAGATTACTTTTCTGCAGCCATAAATAGAATTTTCTACAAACTTGTTAATAAAGGTCGTTTGAAAACAATTTCGGAAAGTGATGTGCGCATTACTCTTAGATAAATAGATAACCATGTAATACTGGCTAAAATATTCTATAACCTTTACTGATGTATTACCTCAGCAGCTGTATCCCCACGTCATAATCTCCCGGGATACTTGCAATTAGTAGCTTGTTTCCATAAATCTCAGATAATTGTTCCGATGTTTCGGCTAGAAAATCTGGAAGCACAATTACATGAAAAAACAAATTTGCTGTGTCAGTTAAATTATTGTATCTTAAGGGTAAATTGATATTGTCCTGTGACAGAAGAGGAAGAAAGAGAACAAGTTTCCTAACAACATGCATTTTCTAAAGGTAGTGTTTAATTCTACGGTTAGGATATGTTTCCTAGATGAACAAATTGTGATGTCATCGTCAAATTATGTCAAAAAGTTTGATGGTTCAGACTGGATTTGTCCGTTTCCCTAAAATTTACATGTTATCAACACACTTAAGGTTGAATAAAGCCACAGCCGACAAGGCAATTCACCGAAATGTCATAACCAGTGCTTGTATTCATGAACAGTTAACATGCTCCAAGTTTCTTGAGTCGGTGATATAATAATAAAATAATCATAATTCGTCAATGGCATGTAGGCAATTTGGAGAGACTTTAATCCGAATACTGTTTTCGATGCTTACACTTGACGCTTAGACAGTGTTACATAAGTGAAGACTAGTTACAAGAAAGTCAGCTTGAGCACAAACTGCATGCATGATCACCAGAACGGTTCCATTGTTTACCAGTTTCACCAACTCAATACTTATAAACCCAAAGGCCTTGATTTCATCCCTCCAAAATTTATCAAAGGTGTATATCAGTCTCTTTAAGACCTCATTTTCTTATCTTTAATAAATCCATTTCCGCGGGTATTCTTCCTTCTGCTCATGTTACACCCGTGTACAAGTGCAAGGGTGCAAGAAGTGAGCCATCCAATCTGTTACTCCTTTCTTTTGCAAACTACTTGAAAAAACTATCTATCTAAATGATAGGAAACAGAGGGTTGTCTTGGATGGATTTAAATCTTACTGGAAAACGTTAAAGGCGGGAGGTACCACAGGGGCCAGTTTTAGCGCCATATTTATTTTTACTGTACATAAATGATATCGGAGAAGATTTAATCTGCAATGTCAAGCTTTTCTCTGACGACACGTCTTTATATGCATCGATAGAGGGAAACCTAAAGGATGCTGCTGACAAGATTTACGAACAATTTCTATTTGGGCGGTTACATGGGGTATCATCTTCAATCCGGATAAAACGGAGCTTTTCTGTCCTCAAGGCGGGTCGACTCTGAGACGTTGCATCCTTACCTATTATTCAATAATACAACTATTTATAACGTTCAACATAAACACCTTGGTCTTATTTTCAATGGCAATGTCCGAAAATTACTATCGCTTACCAGAGGAAGATAACTCACTGAAGTTATACTGAACGATCTACCGCCATACTGGAAAAAAATAATAACAATGCAAACTTAAAGTTTCTTACAGAACGGAGATCATTAAGAGAACTCTCCTTAAAATCCGGTGTGTCATATTTACCTTTTGATATATCCACTGGGGTGTATTTAACACGGCCATGTCTCTGAAGCAGGGTGTCGATAAATAGTCGAGTTTTCTCACTATTGCCACTGCCCATGTCTACAAGATCCGGAAGTTCAGATACTTCAGGTAATATGTCCTGTTTGATAGAATTTGCATTCTCATTCACCGTACGTTAAACTTCATAAAGTATTAAGAATGAATAAGTAAAAGAGATTGAAGTATTGTACAAAGATATGAATGTTTTCGAGTATAATCTACCTACGTCAAACATACATATTTAAAACGTGCTAACGACAATGTGGACAAAAGAATTTGTCCTATTTCCGAGGCATCCCATCCGTTTATGAAGACACAAACATGAATAGTAACACATAAATCACAAAAATTAAAAACACAGACAAGCAGTTACCATGAAACATTTTACATCACTATATCACAAACTGTCTTGTTAATCCAACATATGGCTATCTCTTAGTCGTGGTTCACCTTAATGTTGGTATCTTTTCGTGTTATTTTACCTTTATATTGCTGGCGAGAATGGATATCTCTGACTTGTAGAAGTAGTAGAAGGTGTTTTCAGAGAGACATCTGTCGTTGTAGACGGAGCCTGCCTTGTCGTAGCGGTACCAAACCGGAAGATACTTTGGGATTGACGTCAGACCCGCACGCAATGCATCCGCAATATCCATGATACCAATTACATGTACATGTGACTAGCTAATGCCTGCAATTTATAAATAACTCAAGAATTATATTTTAAAATTAACAAACAGCAATATAGCATTGCACCGTTTAACGGCGTTTCAACTTAACATATAGTAGTAATCTCTACATTCGACTGAAAGGTGAGATTAATATGTAATCCTTGCCTTCTGTTTGATTTACTTCTTAAATTGGTCCTTTAAACGCCACAGTGAAAGCACAATGTGTTATATATAATTAAAAACCATTGTTGCATAGGCATCATATGTAGCCGTCCAATAAGTTACCTGTAGCTGTCTAATACGTACACAAAAGAATCCACTTATTGGACAGCTACAGGTAACTTATTGGACGGCTACAGGTAACATTTTGGACAGCTAAAGGTAAGTTTTTGAATGAGCACATTATTATGCTATACAATGAAAAACATAGTAATAGAATAAATGTGAACACAGAAATTAAATATCAACATTCTTAAAGTATATCCAGTATTTATATTCACATAGTCATAATAATAATAATAATAATAATAAACTTTAATTATTGAGGATACAAAACCAGTTAAGCAAAGCTAATCTTCCACAGGGTCCTCTGTAAGTAAAATTGGTTAGTAAAAAGACAAAGTAGTTTCACAGCAAATAAATGTACATAAAATAATTATCACCGTTACTACTAAGACATAATTGTTGGTCTTACTAAAACAGCAATTCATATCACAGTTATTTCATAATTTAAATGGTCGTTCAATACAATTACAATTACAATCACAGAAGCAACGATAGCCAGGTGCAGGTGCTACACAGATTCTTAAACATCACGAAGACGCAAATTCCCATTTACACAATCGTTTTATTGGAGTCGAAAGACCCTGCTACAGCACAAATAAAACATATAAGCACACGTACAATACATAGCAGATCTACATTATACAATGGACATCAGATTGACTTTACATAAAAATACACGATACCCGTAACGGATGCAATTACATTACGAATTTAATACAATACATTTGAAATACTTATACATGCTAAATTATAGAATTTACCAATTTTACACATGAACTTTGATAATTACGAGATAATTAAATAGTACCTTATATTAAGAATACCTACACTATCGCTCCGACAGGGGTCTAATGACGAGCTCTACGTATAATATACGTTGCCTACATAATAGGTCTGTGGTTCTAATGAAAAGAAAAATAACAAAACTTAATATATAGTAAACATATTTAGCAAATTACTTTTAAAATACTTTAGTGAATTACAGTTTCCATAAAAAGATAATGGAAACCACACCCAAAAATACGTTTATCAAAGAAAGATATTTTAACTTCTTCAAATATTCTAACAAATGCAAACATACTAATTCCATAAAGGTTACCCTAAAATATAGTATTTCAAATAGCTCAATACTAATATGTTTCCAACACTTACTCTGAAATAAGTCGAGTTCTGTTCACCGCAGTCGGTATAATATTTGTCGGTATTGACTCTACGTCTGGTCTGGTCTCTGTCCAGTGCGGGCACGAGCTGACATGTGATCACGTGACAAGACATTTACATAACAAAACAGCACATGTAACAAACACTTGAGACACACGATGACCAGACAAATCGGTTGGACGAGTACGAGAATCGGTATATAAAATTGTTAAGTACGTCAGACATACGTACAACTTAAGCCTTCTAACTTAGACAATACTATATAGTTTAATAATTTGAATTAAACTCTTACAAAAATAACCTAAAATAAATAGCACTGCCACAGTCAGATTTCCCATGTACTACATTTTTACTATAGGTTTGAATCACGGAACACTCTTTTTACATGAAACATCCGTATAGATGCATTCATATCCAAACACTTTACTGAGAAACACATTTCCAGCATTTATTGTAATTTCCTTTGAATTCGTAATTTTGCAATAACACTTTGGAGTTGAGGGCAGTTGAACTCTTGCGTTTTTCCCACAATTTATGTGCACAAAATTTCTTTCGTATCATCCCTTGAGATATTCGTGTATAATCCCAGATATATAGCTGTGTTATATCTTTCATGAAAATATTTTGGAGGTGGTGTTAAAATCTTGAATTTTCTCACTTTAATTGTGTGGTTTAATTCTTTCATTTCATTCTCACACATACATATTTCCAGAAATATACTGTAATCACGTTCTTCAATAAATCAGTCACCTTGTTTGAATTTAATCCATTTCAATACTAAATTCTACTCGGGCATATTTACAAAGTATGCTAAAGGACAACACTGTCCTTTATTGAATTAATATCCTTCGTGGTTGATTGCACATACTGAACAGATATCGAAACTGTCCAAACTGTCTATTATGTTAAATATTTGACAGGTTTCGGCTTATATCCTTTACGTTAAGAAACAGATCCAAAAGTGGTTCTGTTAATATAACTACAAGTTATAATAGCGTGACAGAACGTTCTACCTTATCTAAGGGCTAGTGTTCTTTATTAACATTTCCCTCTTTCATAACAATGTTTGGTGAACTGTTTGATAAGGTTTAACGATCCAACTCGTCGTCACACACCTTAGTTCGTATCTAATACTACTACAATCCCAGGATAGATTAGTAACGATGTGCAATTAAATATATCAAACGATGGTTTTAAAATAAAGAACTCGACTGTGATATTAATTAGGTGTACCGAATCATGTGTACACATACATAGACAGTGGGGAAGTGTGTTACGCCACGATTTCTCACCCCGACACGATTTTTCACCCCGACAAGATTTCTCACCCTGTGAAATATCGTGCTAAAATAGCTACGTTCAAAACACGATTTCTCACCACTGCAAAACATACGGGCACAGGTGACCCTTTTTATCACCCGGCACGTTTTCTCACCCCAGTTCCCTATATTAATTTTGGTTTGGTCGGATGGATTTCATCCGTATTTTTATTTTACAACAATGAAATAAGTTTTTGTCACCTCACATTAATCAGGCAACAATAAGTACTCAGATTCTAATGACTAAGATAACTAAAGCAAAACTGCCTTGAAGAACACCTTAAAACAACCGATTCACCAACTTCATTCCAATCCATAAAATAGAACACAGTGTATACCCAGGTAGCCCTATATGCTTCAGCAAATCAGAGACAGCGATGGCAACGGACAAAGTTGAGCAGATCGGAAACAATAAGTCCCCTAACTTTGCACTGGGGCTTTAAAAAGAAGAAATGTGCCCTTTGGTAGGTGAGCTAAAAGAAACTTTACAGCCAGAAAAAAGACACTACAATTACTCCTACACCATCTGATCAGGGCTGTTGCAAATCATTTGGCACATTCATAAAAAGGCTGGATTTATCAACATAGAAAAACATTCTCCTTCTTCAATTTTAGACGTCAATTAAGCAAATTTAAAATTGCTTTGATTATACACCGTTAAGAATACAGTGAAATCGTGTAACACTGACATTGTGACCACGATATAAGTATATACTCAGGTGATATCACGAAACAGTCTCTATGTGATCACGTATTTCTATAAGGTTGTAATCTTAAACAGGTTCTGATGTAGAGCGTTGTTTTATATATTGTGTCATCTTGGTGGTATCTGTTTGAAAAGACACCTTGCTGATCCAGTAGTTTATGTAAATATAATAAGTTGTAACTGAATGATATTCAAATTCCAGGTATGTATTTTTACAAAATAGAAGAAATAATAATAGACATAGAATGATTTACACCTCTATCATGCTTTGTAGCGGTAATTTCGAGTGAATGCGCTTGACTGTTTTTCCCAGTCCCTCTACCAAAACACGCACAGGCCAGCTGGTGGTAGTCACTTCTGGACTAAGTTAACCGTGTGATTTAACTAGTGTTAAATTCTTGTGATGACGATCCCTTTCAGTACGACACATAGCATTGGGTAACACGCGCCAGTTAAGTCAATACGGTAGGTAGGATTTTAAATGTTCAGTTAACTTGTCTTCGGTCCTACCTTTTTACAAAACGTGTACAGATACATTTATTAAAAAAGATATCGAAGGAAATATTTTATTGGTGGGCTTAAACTTACGCTCAAATCAAATTGTATTACTGCACCATATGATTCTTCAGTAAAAATATCAGTAGTCAACATACAAATCAAAGCCCTTGTAATCTCCCTGTAGGTACTCGCCGCCTTACCTTATTGCTGTATTGAGGCACTGTTACAGTGACATCATCATTGTTTACCTAGTTCGGCTTCATCATTTTGCTTGTGTGTCCTATTATTATGGTAGTATTGACAAATTATAATGCACAGTAAATAAACAAATCAAACAGTGACTATATTTTGTCCCCAGCATTGCGGGATTACGTTTTTGAAAAAGAATCTATTTATACCGAACTTTAACTTTCAAATACGTCCGGCCGCTTTCGGCTAATGGTACAGAAATGAATGATAAATGCTTCGATTGTGTATCACACAAAAGTGTACCGTGGTGTACACATACGAAGTATAAATACTTCAAACATGTCCAGCCGCTTTCGGCTAATGGGACACAAACGAAACATAAATGCTTCAAATATGTCCGGCCGCTTTCAGCTAACGGTACAGAAACGAAGTATAAATTCGATTGTGTACCACACAAAAGTGCACCGTGGTACACAAACGAAGTATAAATGCTTCGTTGGTACACAAACGAAGTACAAATGCTTCGTTTGTGTACCACACAAAAGTGTACCATGGTACACAAACGAAGTATAAATGCTTCAAAAGTGCCTGGCTGCCTTCGGCCATCTTTACATACAGTACACAGCCAGAAAGATCTTCCGATATAATCAGTGGACTTAGAACACAGTATGCACTCATGCGTGATATAAAAATAATCATGTTAAAAACGTAGCAGGATTATGATGTGTAGGGAGAAGGAAACGATAGGTCAATGTAGGACTGGGGAAGTTGTCTTTTATGTGAAAAAGACAAGAGCAGATATCGGAGTTTTCAAATAGAGTCTTAATCTGTTTGCACTGATATCTGTATACACTCTTTGCACTTGCGTAAGTGACTCTGTTATCTCGCTCTGTTGTGGTGATGTACTATGATGTTCTGTTTGGTGCTTCCGTACCTCATATTCCTAGCGATTATAATACCACAGAAAAAAGGGGAAAAAACGTAAAATAAAGTAAAATTGATTTGAAATGAAATTGATATGTTATTAACCACAATTTAATTTTGGAAATCCACATATATTATACCAAATACAGAAAATAAATATGTGTCGATTGCAGCCACACTGAACTTTTCGTTCATTTATTATGTTTACACTTGACATCCTTTGATCCTAAATATCAAAACGCATAACTGAAATTACTTAAATTTAATGAATATCAAAGCTTAGATATATTACGAAAGGGCATCAGATAGCATAAAAGCCCTTCTACATCTTAATTCATTCTCGAGGTAGAGAGGGGGAGGCATATCCTTGATTTTTAATCATAGATTACTCAAATAGAAGGCGTAATTTGGAACTCTAAAGTAATAGGCTTTTCTGTTGACGAAGGCGTATTTTACGTTTAACCTTTGAAAGTCTTTGTTACATTGTCAAAAGGAGTGAATATATTTTTTTCAAAATCACATATAAAGTAATAACAAATTTGACATATTTATCAGGTGACCTATATATTGACTTTTGTTATAACAAGTGCAAACCATGAAGGAATCAAATGTTTGTAAGAAGAGCATAGTGAAAGAGCTAAGTGAATAAAACCAGTTGTGTAAAACAGAAATTTATTGATTTATTGATTTCTTATTGTCATCACAAAAAAATAGTGAACAAGCTCTGGAATACAAAATCAGTTACAACTTGGAACAACCGCAGTTTTTTAAGCCGGAATGTTACTATCAAAATAGGGAAATTTCACGATCGAAGAGCAAAATACGTCACGCTTATCGTACAGCTTATAAGAGAAGATCACGGTAAACAGCGGATATAGACATCCATATGCAATATATAACTGTTTTTGTTTAAAACAAAAAACAGCATGTGATTCATTAACAGACTTCATATTCTATCCATCAGTATCGACCAAATGTATCATGACTTTTGTCAAACATTGTCATCATTGTTGAAATATGAACAAAACATATTCAACAATTCGTAAGCTATGTCAGATGTTGCTGTCCTATGACAAATTTGGTGCTCTGTAAACCTCATAAAAAGTGTTTGAATTTGTTTAAGAGGTATATTTATGTTCCAATAGATATACAGAATAACCTGAATGGACTGATCTATGTAGAATACAATACATCTCCAGCACACACGCAGGCATACACACCTAGGGAGATATTAGCCAGATGACATAGGACTAGTAGTAAGCGTCTGATAAGTCAGCTCCTGATATATATATATATGTGTGTGTACTTAAAGTGCTTTAGAGTGGCTTATTCTAGCTAGATAGGGCGCTATATCAAATGTTGTACATAATAGTGTACATACTCTAACGTGTAAACCTTCGAGGAACAAAGCTTATTGTAGGTCCAATTTTGTAAATACCTATTTAAACTTAACCTGTCTAAACCACATTTATTTCGAAAAGATCATTTGTCTTTGGTCTCAGTGGTATGAGGTTTGGACAAGTGCTCATATGTATATAGCTATTCCACATCTGACACCATTGGTAGCGTCTCTACGTCTAACAAATTGTGAAGTGTTTTTCCCCTTCTGCCACCATTGGTTGCAATCTCACTTTTAACATCATTTGTTGTATTCCCGACTGAGAAAAACAGTGAAGTCCGTCGAGACCAAACCTGATTAATACTTTAGAAACTTACTACTTTGAATATAACCGTAAACTTGCTAAAACTAGTTAGGTCTTCTACATCAATTAGTTTCAGTTTAATAAACTGTAATAGGACAACCGTGGGTAGAGCCTGTCCAGCGTCGATAGATGAAAGTGACCGTATAGTAATTTCGGTTTCCCCCAAAACTACCGACAAACTGACCCGCGGAAATCCCCAAGAACGTCCAGCTGCGTCCGTAGATGTGAAGGATGATCCGAGTTATATACCAATCAACACCTTGTTTCAAAGTTACTAACGTTGATTACACATCACACGGCTAAGGTAGCCGTTAAAACATGGCAAACAATACGTACATTTAAAACAGTATACAGTATAAAAGACAGAACAAAACCTACAGTGCATAAAAATAATGAATGTTTACTAAACCTATATACGGTACATGTATATCAGCCCCGCGTGGTAAAATAAGGCCTATATTGATAATTGTACTACTCTATACATATAACGGTGAAAAACACCCCCTCCAGGAACACTTCCTTATCCTAACGTTCCCTAACGTGGGTGTACTGTTTTCAGTACATCGGTAACACTGTTTTCAGCGCCTCGGTGGAAGAGTTTTCCCCTTCCTGATATAGCCGGCATTCCGGCCACGCAAGTCCCCGATTTTGCCCGTGTATCCTCTTTTATACCCCAGCGTCCTGGCCCTATGTGACTGGCTTAATCTAAAGTGTACGCGCAGTGGGCCCAGAATCTCTTCCAGTAACTCCCCGTCATCCGGTCATCTCAAAAGTAAACACCAATGTTAACAAATAGACTGCACCAGTGATATCCGCTACATACGCCGATAGAATAGCCGTACCGTATCTTTAGTTACATTAGGATGGCAATAAAGGGATACACATAGAAAGCAGTAAAACAAACACTTAGGCTAGTAACCTGTTTTCCCACAAAACATTTGAAAACTGAATGTAACGTCATTGTCATCCTACAATGTCACAACATACCGACGAAGCATGGCCGAAAATAAATTGTGCTAGCCATGTAAAGTATATAAGACGTACGTTAGACACATTAGATAATATATTTATTAGCTTTCACATCATCCATATTTCGTACACGTTTTGCTTGTTATTCTTGTTTGCAATGTACATGTAGATAATATAAAGATATTTTCGTTATTAATTTATAAAATTAGATAATAAAAGGTGAGTATAATCATCATTACGAAAAATGTTCAAAGCAATTTCTCTCATGTCAAAGGAAACTTTTTTCTTGTCTCCAGCTACCGATCATAAATATTGATTACGCTCTTAAGTAAAGACTTCTTTGTTACGTAACTCTTTTAATCGCACACTTTGATTAACTCTTGTCGCGGTGATTTATAACTTTGAAACATCATTCAATTTCAATACATTTGGTTTGAGATTTACATGTTCTTTTATTTCTAGGTGTTTTATCTAATATATTTCTTCATCTATCAATGTTTAGTTATACTTTTTCCTAGTTTTGTTATGTTAAATCTGACTGCCTGAGGTATATTAGCCATGCGTATTGTGGTAAAGTTCAAAATTCTTTCACAGAGCTAAACATTTCTAAATATATATACTGACCCTGACAAGACCTCAATAATCTTATGATCGATATTAAAGATATGCATAGTGTAAAGTGTCAGTTATTATATCAAATATACATATGTCATAATACCTAAATGTACACGTAGTATAAATCAATACATGTATATAAAACAACCTATCCTAATAGCTCGCAAATGTTGTCAAAATGTTTGTATCAGTGTAGTATAACGATCATTTACATACAGTTAGCCAACCCACTATAATATGTGGTTGTCATTTTGGCTTCTGAGCGGAGAAACAACAGACAGCCACGTGGTTGTCAGTGTCAGTCCAGTAGTTTTCTAAGTGCAGTCCCCCACATGAACCTAGCGTACGTATCTGGTTAATGTTGTATTTACAGCTCACTCCTTTACCTTCGTGTAAATAAAGTCTCTCTTCCTTCGCTAGATCTATGGTAATTCCTAGACCGGCTGAAACATACAAAAGAAACAATTTCGGACATTGTAGAATATTCCAATAGAAGACAAGAATGAAGGTACTAATTTTAGATATTCAAGATCGTCGAGTGATATAGCACTAAAAGGAATTCAAAGGCGAAACGAACTTACAAAGAGCGAAACTGGAAAGACAAAACACGGAACGAAATATATCTAAACCTGCACTAAAAACATAAAAAGCTAAACAGACTTCTCAAGATGATATAGCAGTCGAGTGATATAGCACTAAAAGGAATTCAAAGGCGAAACGAACTTACAAAGAGCGAAACTGGAAAGACAAAACACGGAACGAAATATATCTAAACCTGCACTAAAAACATAAAAAGCTAAACAGACTTCTCAAGTCGATGGAGCGTTTACTTTACAAATTGAGGCACCCGTCCTAAAGGGTATTTGTGTCTATATATGTATCTTACTTGTTAGGAAAATGATGTATATATATGTTTGAAACACTTGTATTACATGGCGATAACTGTGATATTGCGGGGGATACATTGAAGCGTAATCAGTGTAACATGTAAGCCTGTAGTGAACTGATGTTACAAATTGAGGGGATATGTATAGTATTTTCAATTATCTGTTTTGTATACTTCAGCCATCTTACTGTGTTAATAATGTGAAACCTACTGTGTTTATATACAATTTCCAGCTACCAATTACCGGACATTTTGTTACGGTGATATATCTACCTATATGGTGGACATGATGCTCTAGAAAACATACAATGACAACAGCGATGACATCGAAGAATATTCAAAAATAAATAATTCATTTTAGATTTGCATCAACCTCGAGTGATAACGCACATAATGGCAGCACGCCATAGGTAACGCAGGGGAGCCCTATAACAGAAATGCATCATAAGCTTTCTCTTAAAACATGGGAAACTGAACAGAGTTTTCCGGAAGATTAATGGTATTATGTACGGAATTTGGTACCTGCTATACAGGACATTTACTTGAAGCACTACAATACTATTTACATATACTTTAACATTCACAGTAATGCACGACGGCATGTTAATAAAGTTTTACATATCCATTATACAACCGATAATTGACCTTTTTTGCACGGTGAAATATCTACCTATATGGTGGACCTGATGCTCTAGAGATTCTCCGTAGACGGTGACGTAGCTAGTCTCCTCTGGTATATCACTGTGCACATACTCTGCTTCGAGAACTAAAGTGTCCGTGCTGATTGCACAGCCATACTCCCTATTCAGGCGCCATACTGCATTGAGGTACAGGTCTTGCGATATTCCTGTAAGTATAGATCAGTGTGAAGGATTAATCATAATTAAGCTTCACATTACATCTTTAAATAAAACTTTTTGAATCATGTGTCATAAATGAATGAATGCTTACATTTCTTGTTAACAATAACTCACTTGACTAACCAAAATCCTTGAAATGTTTCATGTTTTGAAATAATTTGAATGTAGATGCATATTTCAACAAACAAAAAAGTAGATAATCTGAAAAATCCGTTTCAAAATATATACCGATAGCATCAGTAATTATAGTTAATGCATAACATTATGAGTTGAAGTAACTTCATCCAGGTGTAAATCATATATCATTTGCATTTTCCGACTAAACCGTATTTATATTTTCAAAATTCCAGGTTAAAAGGCCTACACAAAAAATGTAAGTTTTGATATCTGTCGTCGAATTCGAATAAAATAACATTCGTTTCTTGACACATACTCCCTCTCTACAATTGAATTCGCTACGACGTCGATATTGTTTATTACCTGAATCTTTGCAAATAATTGTTGTATATACCTGTGGGATCGAGGTATGCGTTTTCTATCTGTTCTTTATCTTGTGATACATCAAGACTTACGATTAGCCGACATCTGTCTGCAGAGAAAAGGAAAGTATAACAAAAGTGTTGTTCCGTAGTGATGGACATTCAATATTCCTTTTGTCTCAAATCCTTTCGCGAATCACTAAGGTTCTCTGTACGCCATCCTGACCTCAAATGGTGTAATAAAATGTTAGATACCTGTAAATTCTGCTTTGAAAATTATGGGGAAAGAGGAAATAAAAAAATGAAGAAATATAAGTATATGTAGAATGACTTTATAGTCACAATATATACATTCGTTTAAATGATAATCCGTTATCGTCATTAATTTTTCATTGATCTGTTGACAACTGAATTAACAAACGGTATATGTGCGTATTACTTTAAATCATTTTCCTCACGTTTGCGATAATTTTGTATCTGATTGAGAGATGACCGCAATGATTATACCATAAGTGAAAATCAGAATATTCTGTATGATTGATCAGTAGGTCCTCCCTAGAAAAGGTCGATGGGACATACGTTTGACTTCCAGTAACAATAGTCTCTCACAGAAGGTAGGATATCTTTTAAACATTAATGTTCAGACTAAATTTTGTAGTCAAAATGTGAATAAAATTCTAATTAAACGTAATCTAATCAGCAAGGAAATCCCTCTTAACTTCCCGCTTCCACCTTTTCCCTAGAATGATATCCGACCTCGCAAGACATCGCCTTCAATAATTCAGTCAAAGTGGTCACTGCCTATAATCATTTGACAACAAATCAAGTACCTGTCATAACATTCGACAACAACTTCAACCGGCGTATTTGGTCCTCATAACTTTGGTTCTGGAATCCACCTCCAAGCCACGTGATAACCTTGCTCCCCGACATATTTCTAGAGAAAGAACGTGGATCAGTTCAGGTCTTTATCATAAGAAACTAGTAGCAAAGAACTCTGTGATTACAACGGTTCATTTGTTTTCAATTACATAAACATGGGTGTAACGTGTGAAAAAATATATTCTTACACGTATTTTATATAGAAAGCAAACATGTTTCCCACCAAAGCGAGATAACATCACATTACATCTCCAGCACCCACGCATGCATACACACATGGGGAGATATTAGCGAGGTGGCATATGACTAGTAGTTAGCGCCTGATAAGACAGCTTCTTCGAATTCCTCAAAATTGTATTGATAAATGTATATGCTAATTTATTAATTGTATATGTATGTACTGTAAAGCGCTATATCATATTTTGTATATTTATTACAACAATTTTTCTTCGACATATGTACAATTGTTTCCTCAGTCATAACATTTGACATCTTTTCAACTTTGCATTGACGTCATATCAAAATTGCATAAAAGTGATTTTTTGATCAACTGCAAATATCTACTACCAACCAACTTACATCACCTCACGTTAATGAACAGACAGATTATTTTTTGAACGCTTTTTCTAAAATCCGTTCAAGTAATACATGTGAGTTTATCGAAGGATTCTTGTGATTGAGTTCCTTCGTTACTAGACAATAACTGTCCTTCAATTTCATCAAGAGATTGTGATTTGCTTTTACTATCTATGCTAGAATTGGAGTACTCCTTGATAACAAGTTTCTCTGTCCCTTAAACATAAATCCAGTTCCTGTTGTATCTATTTTCACTGCTTTGCTTTATGACGGTTTGGCCAAAGTAATGTTAAAATATCCCGTCTCCAGCTTATGACTAACGATGTTTAGAATGCACACTCTCTACCCCGAGTGTAGGGTGGGAAACGAGTTTCACAAAACTTCTGACTGAGGGTAGAATTTCGTTATCCAACATGATATAAATGTTTAGTAACCGAGGCTCACTAATGCTCTCCTGCAGGTCGGGACTGAGAATAGGATACATCCGCTGTTACCCACTGCATGTTATAAAAATCATCTCATTATGGGAACCTCCTGAAGAAATGCACTCTACTTGAGACCTAAACAACTATTGAGACAATACTGGTCATGTCCCATGAGGACGTATACATCTTAAAACTCCATATGAATGTTATCTGACATGATGTCACTATATCATGATCATAAAGATATACAAAGATACCAGTACAGTTTAACGTTTTCCTTCAGTAACCCACAAAGACCAACCATGTGTGGAAGAATGGGTCAAACAGCGAAACGAAAATGGCTCATACATTCTACGGCCATTTTATTATCTCGACTGTTTTTAAACATCTGTCTCTTAATTACCTCAGTCGCTGTATTCCCACGTCATAATCCCCCGGGATGCTATCAATGGATAACTTGCTTCCATAAATCTCAGATAATTGCTTCGAAGTCTCGGCAAGAAATTCTGAATAACAAAATTGTATAAAAATAACATATCCACCATTAATTAATATTTGGTGATAAAAGTGTACAGTACTAGTTTTTTAAAAGGCATAACAGAAAATATACAAAGATACCATAAGCCAGTGAAGTAAAAGTATAAAAATAGTTTGATTTAATAAGCCTTTATGTAAGCGTATGCAACGGTCATTCACGGGATATCTCTTAAACTGGATGTAAGAGACGAGTACCATCGGTTTGTTTGTTTTGGTTTTACGTCATCAATAAAGGTTAAAAAGTATGAAGGCGGCAACAACAGTTGATAGATTCATTCGAATGCCGTTTCAAATTGTAATTTCTGAAATAAAATAAACCGGACATGTTAGTATGGCCATCGAGTCAGTTATAGCATTCTGAAGATTGGTTATGCATGGGTTCCAAGGGAGCCTAGCTGAAGTGAAGTAGTAGTTAAGGTATGAAATAATAATAACAATATACAATATTTATATAGTGCCCTATATCATTTGCAAATTTACTCTAAAGCGCTTTACAACATATGGATACTAGTTTTAGTTATCATTGTTTAAACAAACAAGAAGCCCAGAGGGCCTTATCGCTCACCTGAATATGTTTAAAACAATTGATATGAAGTAAAGATATAACACTCCATGGTAGGTGCTGTAAGTACATATGAAATTTCAGAAAGATCCATCCAGTCCTTGAGATATAGCGAGAACAAACTTCAAACAGAGCCCCACCCCTAAATAAGAATAAAATCCCTTAATCCCGATGGTCGAAGAATGATTTTAAAGGTTTTACCTCTATTTCTCCTATTTGGCCCCGCCCTTTTGCCCCCTGGGAAACCACATCCACAGCTTATACAAAATTGAGTCCCCTTGGCCCAAGGATGCTCCAGACTAAATTAGGATAAAATCCCTTAATACTTATGGTAGAAGAAGGATTTTAAAGGTTTTACCTCTATTTCCACTATGGGGCCCCGCCTCTCTGCCTCCAGGGGGGTTAGACACGCCATTTATACAAAATTGGTTCCCCTTCTACCCAGGATGCTTCATACTAAATTTGGACAAAATCCTGTAATTCGTACAGAAGAAGAAGGTATTTGAAAGATTTGCTATGTTTCCCCTATTGGGCCCCGCCCGTCTGCCCCCAGGGGGGCCACACTCACTGTTTATACAAAATTGAGTCCCTTTTGCCCAAGATCCTCCAGACCAAATAGGGAATAAATCCCTTCATCCCTTTGGTAGAAGAAGAATTTTAAAGGTTTACCTCTATTTCCCCTATTGGGCCCCGCCCTTCTGCCCCCAGGGGGGCCACACTCACTGTTTATACAAAATTGAGTCCCTTTTGCCCAAGATCCTCCAGACCAAATAGGGAAGAATTCCCTTCATCCCTTTGGTAGAAGAAGAATTTTAAAGGTTTACCTCTATTTCCCCTATTGGGCCCCGCCCTTCTGCCCCCTGGGAGACCACACCCACTGCTTATACAAAATTGCGTCCCCATGGCCCAAGGATGCACCAGACTTAATTAGGATAAAATCCATTAAACCCTATGGTATAAGAAGGATTTTAAAGGTTTTACCTCTATTTCCCCTATAGGGCCCCACCCCTCTGCCCCAGGCGGGGGGGGGGGGGGGGGCACACAACCACCATTTATACAAAATTGAGTCCCCTTGGCCTAAGTTGGGTCCAGACCAAATTTAGCGAAACTCTAATTTAAAAAAAAAAGCCGTTCAGGACTAGAAGGTTTAAAAGGAAAAGTTGACGGACGGACGACGGCCGACGGACGCTACGCCATGACATAAGCTCACTTAGGTAAGTTAAAAAGGCTTACAATCACCATTATACATTCAGCAGGACGATACTCATCTCAATAAGCACATACATGAATAAATAAAGGTGGTATGTACATGACATCTGTGCAAAGAGCCTAAAGTGCAGGCTTGAAGAGAGTTTTTTCCACCAAATAAAGTATAGAACTAAAGTCAGCAGTAATTTTAAATAACAGGCATACATCCAGATATTGATATGTATTTATTTGACGTGTTTTTATTGTTACAAGCACACTTGCTGAAACAGCTGGTCCGACATATCTGCTTGTTTTTCTCAGGTTTAAATCCGGGATATTGACATGTTTTCACTCGTGTATTTGCTGGTCCGCTACATGTCTGTTTGAAACAATCAAAATGTTTTGATTTTTCCAAGCGGTGTAAGTAAATAGCATATCATGAATTGGGACAACAATGTCCATATGTTAATAACCTTTTGACTAGAATTGTTCTCCAGTTAAACACTATACCATATTTATTACTTAATTGGAAATGAAATGCATTTAAGCCTGCTACACTTGGTTCATATCAACAACCAAATGATGATGAACCTTTCACAATGTCGTTTTCCCTATATAAATATCCTTATACTGTTGAAAATAAAAAGATAGTTACTATGTTAAATTCGTTTTTGAAAGAGTATTTACCTGTATGAGGAGAGGCAATACTAATGCTATATATAATTACACCAACTACCCTCGAGTTTGTGTTTGATAATAATAATTATAAAACTGAAATGTGCTATTTATCATCTTAAATGTTATTCTGCTCCTTGTGTAATGTTTCAAAACAATCAATAACCACATCGAGGTGGATAATGGCGAAATGACTCTTATCTGATGTGGAAGTGTTACAATTTATCACTCTCAAACGTAGATAAATCCTCATTAATCGTAGTCAGGCATCTGGCGGCTATATTAGTGTACATCCATGGGTTGTTGTTTGTTTTGTTTCATAATATGTAATTCTCTGTATTTACAAGACTTTTACAGTCTGTGTCAACCAACGCTATTTCAAATGATCGCCGTTATTACTATATAACAATGTCATATTTACCCTCTGATATATCAACCGGTGTGTATTTCACACGGCCGTGTCTCTGAAGTAGGGAGTCGATAAATAGTCGAGTTTTCTCACTATTGCCACTGCCCATGTCAACAAGATCCGGAACACCAGATCCTTTAGGTAATATTTCCTGTTTCAAAGACAACAAAAATCCCTTGTTGAATTTTTAAATAATAGATTCACATATCCATAGCATAAAAATACGTTAGGTTTGATAATCACATATAGACAACCTTTGCAGATATTAAACAACGAAGCTAACAAGCAATTGAAAAATAAGATTACGATCAATAACAAATGAATGGAATTACCCGATACACATTTTGACCCCGCACATTTTTTATATTCACGTGATACCTCTTATCTAAAATCACTCTTTACTTTCTAATCCGATTTAATTCTTCGGTATTTTAAACTCTCAAATCATATGATATTTTATAACTGATGTAAGATCCTGTTTGTATATGTGTGAATGTAACTTCTTTTCGGCAGATGTATGCATTGACCCGAAGTTGTGATAACATTTTTTCTGGTAGTAGGTTTATATTTTTTTTAATCTCAAAGTTAAGGATAGTCTCTTCTTTTCTTTGAACAATATATTTTTCTGATATATATGTAATTTTGATATGCTACGTGGCCAATAATACAGAAAGACGTACCTTTCCAAACCGTCATGGGATTTTATGTCATAATTGATATATGTGCATATTGGATTTGCATTTCATTTTTCCAGATCCAAAAATCCAGATCTCAAACATATATTCTATTTCTTCGGATGAGGAGTTATACATAAGAATCCAAATTAATTATTTCACAGATTTTTCAAATCAGCTGTGACTGACCCTGTTTTAGATACCTCTCAGTGTATCTCATCTCTTGAATATTCCCGATAATAGAAATGTTATGTCTAAAATGGACTAACGGAGACATATCTCAGTCTTTGTAACTACTGGGAATAAATCTCTATGCTTGGAATATTACCTTTATATGACGTTCGAGAATGGATATCTCTGACTTGTAAAAGTAGTAGTAGGTGTTTTCAGAGAGACATCTGTCGTTGTAGACGGAGCCTGCCTTGTCGTAGCGGTACCAAACAGGAAGATACTTTGGGGTTGACGCCAGGCCCGCACGCAATGCAACTGCAGTATCCATAACACCAGTGTAATGTAACCCACACGTGACTACAAAGAAGAAAACTGTGATTTGTAGTGAATCGAGTAATGCCCTATCATGCTAACAGGCGATCAATGCAAAATTTACCTGTACGCATGGACCGAACAAGCTTTTAGGTGACCGTTAACAGTATGACGAAACAGATATGGTAGACCTGGATCAGTCAAGCAGGTCTACACAACTAGATAAATAGGCTACAAAGCGAGGACATTTTGATTGCTGTCACTTAATTCAAAGTGTATCTTTTAGGTAAAAGGAACTGTAATGCCTGTTACATATATGAATGGTTATGCCTGGTTATTTTGAATCATGACATTTGTCATTCGTTAAGGTATTTTATACAGGCTCATGTCAGTGTATATAGTATGAGATGGGCTCATAACTTTTCCTCAAAATGATAGAAATATGGAAGTTGGTTGGTATGCCCATGTCAAGAACAATGTCAATAATGGCCTTTGCAGAATGTTTTGTTGAACATATTGTTAACTTTGTCTGAAAAGTAACAATTTAATACAGACTTTTAGTGGCACAAATTGCAATGAATAATGAAATTAATGAAAAAACTTACCTTTACATGCATTCCTGAAGTATCCAGGTATTAAATTTAATCGAGAAAAATGTAAGAAAATGTGTCAAATCTCTAGAATAATAGCATATATTTCCACTGAATATATCACAATTGAGCATTAAGCCAACAAGGCTTAATGAGGTTGGAAAAAAGCATGCAAAGCGATTTTCCCTGTACGTCATTCAAAACACTGCAGATCAATAGCCTTGTTAGCTTCTTGAATATTGTAAGATATCCGATGAAAATACATGCCATCATTCTTGAGATTTGAAGCATTTTCTGACATTTTTCTCGATAATAGCCAATACACGGATACTTCAGGAATGCATGTTCAGGTAAGTGTTTTCATGAAATATAAGATTCCATGCAATTTTGCGCCACTTAAATTATGCATTCAAAAGTTACTTTTCAGACAAAATCATGAATATTTTCGACAACTATTTCCGGGAAAGGCAATTATTGACATTCATCTTGACATTGGTATACCAACCAACTTCCATATTCTTCTCATTTTGAGGACAAATTATTAGCCCATAACATACCATATATACTGACATGGGTCTGTATGAAATACCTTTGGATTAAAATAGGAATTTGTTATTAAATGCTTTATTTTAAACATGCTAATTGCGGTTTGGTTTTTTAATTGAACTGTAAATGGGTTAAATTTAAATGGAGATAATTAGGCCTAAATACTATAGGGAGTTTTCGTTCCAAAGACACAATTTCTCTTTATTTCACCATTTGCTTCATACATATTGCTAGAAACTCAAATCAGATCAATTTTGAATGTTCTGCAATTCACTTGCCTTTTCGTTGTCAAAATTTTGAATTTGAATGTTTTATTAATATGAGCTATATTGAGCATGAGTGGGTTATTCTTACATGTATGGGCAAACTAAGAGTTTGTAGCACAGATGTGTGAATAATGTGAACCAGTTATGCTTAACACGACACTGAAATATGTAACGCTACCTTTTGACCACAAACGTTATCTTGTTTAATGACACTGATTTTAAAATTAGTCGAGCAAACTAATTGTATCTAGGTTTAGTCCGTAAGTACTCGTTACTCATCCTTGACTCGGCACATGTAACTGATAAGGAAAGGGCCATCAATTGGACACATGTGCCAATAGACATTAGTGTGAAGGACTACGGACATATATATATATATATACGTAACAGTTGACATGATTTCTAAATTGTTGTATAACACTGTCGATTGTACAAAGTTTGGAACCCATCTCTGTCACGGACAAATCTTCACATGGTCACACGCGAACAGTTGTCTCCCTTCTTATCTTATCTCACGTTTCGTATAAATGTTAGTATCCAACGATAACTGTCAGAGCCCCAGTAGCCTATGGACACTGCAATAAAGATCTCAACAATTTTGGTACTACCATGAGTATCTACAATTGGTTGACCTCGCATAGTTAACACAACTAAAGCAGACATAGATGAGCAACAATTATCTGCAAAAGTTATCTGATTTAACGTCAGCAATTAATAGTCAAGGCGTCAAATATTAGATTTTTCATTTCGATGGGAAAATTAAAGCAAAGTTCATATTATATTAAAAGTATTGAGAAAAATACATTACTGCACAATCGTATAAAATAGTTAGCGTATGAAACAAGCCGCGGAACAATAAATGGATATCCCGGTAGACAATCGGCCGGTAATCAAGCTCTGACAAGAGGTAAGCTGTAGTTAGAAATTGCAATTAACTTTTCATTCCCAACCTTTCAATAATAATAATAATATACAACATTTATATAGCGCCCTATTTAATTTGTAAAATAACTCTAAAGCGCTTTACAACATATGGATAATAGGAATGGTTATAATTGTGAAAACAAAAAACAAAGGCTTGCAATCACTTTTATACATTTAAGCAAGCAATGTGCACATAATTAAACAAATAAAAGGGTGGTATTTACATAACGTCTTTGCAAAGATTCTAAAATGAAGGCGTGAAGAGGTGAGTTTTGATGTCCCTCTTGAACTTTGCCAGGGTATTGGATTTTCTAATTGCAGATGGTAAGCTATTCTACAACGTAGCCGAAACCCTTCCAAAGCATCTGTTTCCGTAGGTCACAGTACGAGATTTTGGGACACACAACAAAGATTCTGACTCCGACCGCAGTGATCGTGACGGCTGATACAGGGTAACAAGCTCCTGTATGTACTGAGGAGCTGTTCCATTCAGTGCCTTGTATGTGTACACCAGAATTTTGTACTGCGACCTGTATCGTACAGGTAACCAGTGCAACGAATCGAGCACATGTGTGATGTGCTCTCTCTTTCGAGTACGAGTAACTAGCCGTGCTGCAGTATGCTGGACCCTCTGCAGACGACTAGTTAGTTTGTCAGATATACCACAGAGCATGGCGTTACTATAATCCAACCGAGAGGTAACAAGTGAATGCACCAAAATCTTGCATGCATCTGCAGTTAAAAACTGCCGAATACAGCCCATGGTCCTGATCTGGTAGTAACAGAATTTGGCAATAGCGTTCACTTGTTTCTCCATATTCAGTGACCTATCAAAGTATACCCCTAGGTTTTTAACAGCTGGAACAGTCTCAAAAGTTCTGGCACCGACTTTGAGCTGGAAAGCCATTGTTTGCTGACAATTTGGGCAAAAGACGATTAGTTCCGTCTTTTCCTGATGAAGCTTAAGCATGTTGGCGTTCATCCAGATACTGATATCTGTCAGACAAGCTTCCAGACTTTCTGAGACGGTATTCCAACTGTCCTGTGGTTTGATGACCATGTAAATTTGTGTGTCATCGGCATAGCAATGATAGCGAAGGCTAAGGCGACGACAAATCTCTCCAATCGGTTTGGAGTACATACAATATTTTCGTGGTCCTAGCACCGACCCTTGTGGAACCCCGAAAAATGTCATGTGATATGTTTCATCTTGCCTTTCTTGTGTTTTTTCCCTCCCTTACCCTTAAAGATAAGAATGTAATTGAAACATGTAGCAGGCACAAACATTGAAATAGGTTTGTAAACATTGTCCCCGGTACATTTTCTTTTCGGACCGCGGCGGTGTCAGTATATATACAGTGTGTGTTATAAATATATGAGAAGAGACACTTGACATGAAATTGCGTCGCTCAATGATGGCTGTTAAAGCGTGAAGCATGTTGCTGTTTAAGTTGGCTCTGTTTTTGGACAAATCAAACTAGGTGGTCTTCACGTGTGACAATGAGTCATTTAAGCATCGAACTGATTTCAGTTGGCATACATGGGCAATATGAATGTTAACTGGACAAAGGTAAAATCAGTGAAGCGCTAGCGTTGGATTTGCCTTTTCCCAGAATTCATATTTCCTCTGAATGCCAACTGAAAACAGTTCAATACTTTTCTTGTATAGAAAATGTTCAGTCTCACAATATTCATTTCATTATATAAATAAAGGAATGAAAAAGAAAAAAACTAGCCAGCAACATAATATATTGTGTTTGAAATTAAAAGATAAACAATATAAACAGTTGAAATAAATGTTATTTACCTGTCGTGAAAGCAGCAGCCGTAGTGTGATTCCCAATCAAAAATATGGACAACATTTATAGTAAGTGTGTCAAATGGCATCAATTACACCTTCAGACAGCTTTTAAAACAAGATTGGCGTGGTGATATCATAAAATGCATTCATAAAAAAAGGGAATGGGAATTTATTTTACTGTAACAAATATTATTTCACATTTACCTTGACATTGGTATGCTAACATTTAGCTTTTTGTGCCAGAATGAGGTGTTACAATTTTTGTTTGACAAACGTCCTTGTTTTTTCGGATTTTGATATGTTTATAGCTACATGTATGATATTTGTTATTTTAATTTATTTGATGTCCCAGCAGCCTACGTAATGCCTCGGAGTACACAGTACGGTGTTCCAAGTGGCCATATATGAGGCAGACAGATTTAAGTCGAAAATAAAACATGTCATGGTATATCTCTGGATTAAAAACGCAATGGGTCTGCTTTAACCGGAAAGTCGACTGCTCGGAACGGACAGGAGGTAGTCTACATCGGTATGTGTAATTGCATGATCGCTAAACTCGACGTAGATTCAGTATGATAAAACCTGCTGATCCGATGGACGCCGGGGAGCCTTTCGGTGTTACATATACTCCCATAGAACGACACCTCCATCTAGACGGTTGTCCAACAGGTGCTCCGGTGATACAAATCGAGCAGTACCCATATGGTGCCAATGAGCTGATACACAACCATAACTATTTCAGAGTCATTGCAGTTGCCTTTGTGCTAGGAAAGTTTTAAAAATCCGAATAATGGATTACCCAATAAGATCTGCTTTTTTATTAATGTATTCGTGTAAATCAAGCTGTAAATATAATGCATCTACAAAATGTGTGATAAATATAACTACTTGTACAGGCCATATTACTTAAATATAACAACACGTGCGAATAGCACACGATAAAACATCTTGTGTCTCAAATAAATATGAGGATTTTTCATTTCAGTAATAATAACCATAACTTTAGTATAACTTTAGTATGCATAAATAATACCTACACCCATCTTTGAAGCCCAAAAACAAATGATTCAAATATCCCGAACTCCCTACCGTGACGTTACCCATTACCCGACGACAGAGCCACGGAGTGATTTCCAATCCCTCTTCCTGCCTGCTGCCTGCTGACGGCCCGGAGCTAGCTCCATATCAAAACTTTGTTTTGTCGGATTGGTTTGAGTGTCAAGTCAATTTATTGCGCAGTTTGTGT